AGTCTACGGTAATACAAAACTCAGTACATGAAAAATACAAAAGTGTGACGCATACAAAGTTACAGTTTACAGAACTTAACTGAACTGGCGCCAGATACAAAGTAAATTTAAAGTCAAATGCTAGCTAGCAAGGATGATACATTTATACAATGAAATAATACATGATGGGGACTCACATGATCAGAATGTCCATGAATTGAATTGAATGTCCAAGCTGAAGTAGCAATATCCAATACTGGAAATGTCACAATAAACACACATATGTCACGTGACAGTGTCCAAGGTCACACAAAAGTCACTTCAAGGAAACCATCTATGGTGGATGTTGCTGGCGATCTATGTCGTTCCTTCCATGGTGGCTATAGTCCTCACTTGGGGCAGGGCAATGAATGAGAAATATACAAACACACGCGACGGGTGAGAGATGTTTTATTCTGCTGATGGGTGTGTCATATTTTTATCTACACCCTGAACCATATTAAAGGAATGATAAAGTAATATTAACAATACAAGTCATCATCACAGTGGTACAAACCGTGTTACATTACAAACAGATGTTTTTCATATACTAGTTGTTATACTGTACAATAATCTGCTAACTGATGTAAGAACCAAATAGAATTATTTTATCTATATATTATCTTAGTGTAAATAGATTATAAATCTCTATCAAAATACATACATATACATGAATTTTCGAGTGTGACTGCATATAGTTTATCCGGCGTCCTTGACAGGTATCGTTGAATAACAAACTGTAATATAAACATGTTAACTGTGCTATAACCTCGTATGATTCAGCCCAAAATGATAACCTATTGTTCTGTATGGATGTATACAGCGTACAGAGTGCTCAAAAGAGATATGCGACTGTAGCTTTTTGGATCTTTAGTGTCTTTTAAAAAACAATGTTACAATTATGCTGGTTTTCCAAACAGTTGGACGCCAGGTGCCTTTGAGTTTCTTAATCTATTAATAGAGTCAAAAATTTCATCTGCGTATAATAGGTGAATCAAAGATACTGGCGCTGATTTCATTCGTGTTCAAGTCAACATCACCATCAACTTATGTTACAGTCTTGAGCTGAATCTTGAAAATGTAAAAGCCAATCATCTTGTGGAATTTCTTCTGAAGCAACATTCTCAGACAAAAATCAGTTGCTCTAAATGTCCCATGTCAAATTTGAGAACCCACAAAAGTTTCATTTACCTATGCAAACACCACTCCATCCAGGTTGTTCAATTTTTGTGCTGCAGAACGTGGACTTGAAGTAGGCATGGGCACCAATTGTGTTCCCCTTCTTGCTGATCTGTTTCTTTGTGCACATGAATAGGAATTTCTGCTCGAATTTGCAAAATCAAAACAAGGGAATTTGGCAAAGAATTTTAATTTAGCATCATGTATGTTCATGATCTGATATCTTTCAATAATGGAAAAAGGCCAATTCGCTTCCACTGATTTACCCTCATGGACAGTGTTCGAAATAAGCGGCTGCCCGCAGGCCCGTGACAGTAGGATCTCGTGTTGGGCTCATAGTTCCAAAATTGTATGGGTCTTTATGGCCTGCAGTAAATTTATGTGTCGATTTATTTGTCACAATAAGTTGCAGGTCTTTTTTTACATATCCAACCTTTTGAAGTATAATAGAGCGCTCATGCGACAATCAAGGCCTTAGTAAAGACTTTAAAAAGTTTTACGGTAGACATGTGGGGACATTTCCAAATTGTATGCATCAGTGACAAACATTATTATGTCCAATGCAATTTCTTATTCAGACTAACCGCCTCCGTGGTCTAGTTTTAGATCTAATTGTAGAGGTATTACAGACCTGAGCATTTACAGTTAAATGTATATTTCAGTTTTGAATAATTGATTATGTTTTCAGAATCGCAGTCTGGCTTCCCCGAGGATTATTATACGACGGATAATGTATGTATCTTTCAGTCTGTTGTTGATCACCTGTTGGTTAAAAAGAAGGTTAACGTGTATGTTTGATTTCTCAAAGGCTATTGATTTGGTAAATCGATTTAAATTGTGGGCAGCTTTAGAACATAACGTGGTGTCATTTAAATGGTAGATAGTATTATATCAATTTATGATAGTTTGAAAGTTATGTGTTAAATACGATTATGTATATATTTTTTTAAATGTTTTAATTATAAAAAGGAGTACGACAGGTCTGTTTTTTAGTCCAATGTTGTGAGATAGAAAGTTCTTGTCACCGTAGTATCCAGTTACATCCAGACTTAACTCATCTAGTTTTGCTTCTATTTGCAGACAATGTGATTCTTTTCTCTGATACTGTTGTATGTCTACAAGGGGGAATATATGTATTACATCATTACTGTAAAGAATACCAGTTATGTATAACTTATTAATAATAAAAAAAATTGATGTTTTTGAAGATGAAGGAATTCTTTTAAGTATTCAGAGAAATATCAAGGTATAGTATTCTAAGAAACATTATCAAGGAATAAACTTTTTATGAGTGCCTCACTGCATTAGAAGGCACAATTTAGTAAATTAAAATGTTGTTATAGTTTTCAAAATTAAGACCCTTATTGTATGCATGATGATTTTTAGAGTATTTGATAGTAAGGTTGTGCCAATATTATTGTATGGTGCCGATATATACATCTTGGTCTCTTAGTCCAAAGACATTATACCACGAGTATTGTATCAACTATATTTCTATAAATAAATTCCGTGTAGTCTCAGCTGGGTTTGGATTTAGGTCGCATCAACGAGAAATTGAAATTGGTAGATTCCAAATGTTCCAAGACAAGAAAGACTTTGTAATGTAGGCCATTTTGGGTTTTGTAGCAGGTGAGATACTTTTCTGTTTGATTGTAAGACTTATGATGAGTTACGTGACCAAGAAAATATACGAAAAGATTCCTGCGATACATAAATTCAGTTTATTAATGTCTTTTGATAATGTTGCCCAGATGATGACTGTGGCGATGTATGTTTATGTGGCTGTGCAACTTAGGAAATACACATGGTCATGACTAGACATACACGACTAATGTGGCTGCTGCAAATTACTGTACCATGGGCCGATCGTCCTACTCTATGAGCATTATATCACCAATACTTATAAGATGCTAATCCCCATTGTTAACCCTCATCTCCAGTGTATTGCACATTTACTGTCAGCCACCCCGAATAAACCTTGGTCCAGGGTAGAAAAGAACGAAGTTCTCACCCATAACCTGGTTAGGGTTAGGCAACGTTGATGAAACCAACAAAGAACGGGTATGGTTCTGACAAACCTAGAAACAACCACGTCTAATCTGAGATTCAAAACCCACGATTACTGGTTTCTGACACGCTACATGTTGCACTGTTGGCATATTTAGCTTGTTTTCAAAGCTCGAGATCGTGACAACGCGAGAACGTCCCTTACGGCATTCCATAGGCATTTGCCATATGGAGTAGGTTAACATGCTTAATGATCTTTTGACGCATTTAGTGCAGTTGTCCTTGTTACACGATAAAGGCTTTATTTCCTGTATATTACCAGTTTCGCTAACTCTTATCAACTTCGCTACAGTTCGGTTTCATTTTGATAAAAGATAAGCGACTGTCTGTCAAACGCGTTTTAGACGTGTTGTGATGGGTGCTGGTCTGTAACGTGTTATATGGACAGGTACTGGTCTTTAACGTGCTATATAGGGCAGGTGCTTGTTTATTGCGTGCCATATAAGGCAGGTGTTGGTCTATGAAGTGCCGTGTGAACAGGTGCTGGTCTGCGACATGTCAGGGCCTCTCCATTTACACGTTACAGATCAGCACCTGTCCATATATGCATATTATAGACCAGCGTATGTCCATTTGACACGTTATAGAGCAGGACGTGTTCATATATACACATTACAGACCAGCAATTGTGTATGTGTGTCCATATGAGAAGTTATAGACCAGCACCTGGCCTATGTGACATGTTACAGACCAGCACTTGATTTGCCTCTTTGGTGACCGGTATACATCCATATGTTTAAGTTACTGTACTGTCCTACTGCAGTATGTCATAGGTATTCCATTTCATTAAGATTATTTTCTAATCGAATTTGATGGTAAACAGTTGTCAAAATACAACCCATGCAATGGGTATCACAGTATACTCCTCCGCCGTAGGCGACAAGTGCCATATGTCTAAATCCATCAGTTAGCATGCGATTGAATCCCATGAAGGACGTGTATTCATCGAGGTAAATATATACTTATGATAAAACAGTTATGCCCTTTTCTGTATTTCAGTTTATTAAAATCGTATGCATACATTTGTCTTACGAAACCATTTATGTACGTTTACAATATGACATCCGCGTTTTTAAACGGAATTCAATTATCTGCTGCCCTGTTTTGTCCCTGTTCCGTGACAGCAGTTACTTGACGTCCCTGACATCTTCTTTCCGAACTTTCAGTTGCTTCATGTGCAAGCAACGTGGCGACATTGTCGAATACTATGCAATTCGCTATGCCGGGTCTCAAAGGCGTGCCAGAAAGCTATGATCGTAGTTTCGAATACCAGATTCGACCTGATTATGTTTCTGGGTTTGCCAAAACTATACCCGTGATTTGGGTTTCACCAACGTGGTAAATGTCTACGACCTGCATCACTTCGGGCTTTACTCTAACATGACCTGAACGAAAACGGAAAGGAAGTCACAGGAAAAAAGTCAAAACTATTTTGAATGGAAGAGTTCATTGCAGACTCCAGAAACTAATCTACAATGTCTATTCATTTGCTGACAAAATGTAAGTTATATATATTTGGATACCATTTTTCCGTTCCCCCACTCGACACATCGCACTCAAGTGCTCACTTTAGCAAATTTGAAATAATGTCAGTCAACTGCTTGACATGATTGAATCACCTATAACACAGCTACAAGCAAAACGGGTTCAGTGTATACCTCGAAAGCATCAGCCAATGGTAACGATCAAGGTTAACCGCGATTGGCTGGGAACAGGGTTATCGGGTAGGGTTACAACTGTGACACTCGGCCGGGCATATAAAGCGCGTTCGATCAGCTGTTGATCAGCTGCTGCGAGAAGCCGGCCGGTGAAATCATATCCCAAGAACGCTAGTGGCAATCGTGTAGGCACTAATATGGGAGATCTTGACATCGACAACAACTTAGGATCCGATCCAGCATCAGACATCATTCAAGATATCATATCAGGGGCAAGACGACTCAAGGTAGGCTTCTGTCACCAACTGTTGTCGCTGATTATATACAACTTCAGATCACATGTTAGCAATATATAATCTTTCCTGATTTTATTAACTTTTTTACTTTCACAGATCATATTTCGGTGACATACTTACGAATTATGGATTTTTTTCTGATTAACGCTGAATTTGTAGAATCACCTTATCTGATTGAAAATATTGAATGACATTCGTGACAAAGGCACCTGGGTCAAAATCGTTTGACATTTAGAAGAGAATGTCGCACTTGTCGCTTAGCTCAGTGTTCAGTGTGTCTTGGCTAAGTGTTCAGTGTGTCTTGGCTCAGTGTTCAGTGTGTCTTGGCCCAATGTTCAGTGTGTCTTGGCCCAATGTTCAGTGTCGCTTAGATCAATGTTCAGTGACTCAGTGTTTAGTGTGCCTCTTGTCTCAATGTTCAGTGTATTTCTTGGTTAAATGTTCAGTGTTTCCTGACTCAATGTTCAGTGTGTCTCTTGGCGCAATGTTCAATGTGTTTCTTGGTTAAATGTTCAGTGTTTCCTGACTCAATGCTCAGTGTGTCTCTTGGCGCAATGTTCCATGTGTTTCTTGGTTCAATATTCAGTGTTTCTTGTCTCAATGTAAAGTTTGTCTCCTGTCTCAATAACCAGTGTCTCTCTGTCTCAATGTTCAGTATGTCCCATGTCTCAATAACCAGTGTCTCAATGTTCAGTATGTCCCATGTATCAATAACCAGTGTCTCTCTGTCTCAGTGTTCAGTATGTCTCCTGTCTCAATAACCAGTGTTTCTCTGTCTCAATGTTCAGTATGTCCAATGTCTCAATAACCAGTGCCTCTCTGTCTCAAAGTTCAGTATGTCCCATGTCTCAATAACCAGTGTCTCTCTGTCTCAATGTTCAGTATGTCCCATGTCTCAATAACCAGTGTCTCTCTGTCTCAATGTTCAGTAAATATTTTGAAAGATTCTGTTCAGTGAGACTCGTGGCTCAATTTTCAGTGTGACTCTTGGTTCAATGTTCAGTGAGACTCTTGGCTCAATGTTCAGTGTGTCTCTTTTCTCAATATTCAGTTTGGCTTGCCTCAATGTAAAGTATGTCTCTTGTGTCAATGTGCAGTGTGTTCCTTGTCTCAAGGGTTCAGTGTGACTCTTGGCTGAATGTTCAGCATGTATCTTTTCTCAATGTTTAGTATGTGTCTTCTGTCAATGTTCAGGGTGTATCTTGTCTCAATGTTTAGGGTGTCTCTGGTCTCAATGTTCAGTGTTTCTTGCCCCATTGTTCAATATGTCTCTTACCTCTATGTTCAGTGTGTCCCTTGTCTCAATGTTCAGTATGTCTCTTGTCTCAATGTGCAGTGTGTTTCTTTGTTAAATGTACAGTGCTTCTCGACTCAATGTTTAGTGTGTCTCTTGTCTCAATGTTCAGTATGTCTCTTGGTTCAATGTTCAGTGAGACTCTTGGCTCAATGTTCAGTGTGTCTCTTTTCTCAATATTCAGTTTGGCTTGCCTCAATGTAAAGTATGTCTCTTGTGTCAATGTGCAGTGTGTTCCTTGTCTCAAGGGTTCAGTGTGACTCTTGGCTGAATGTTCAGGGTGTATCTTGTCTCAATGTTTAGGGTGTCTCTGGTCTCAATGTTCAGTGTTTCTTGCCCCATTGTTCAATATGTCTCTTACCTCTATGTTCAGTGTGTCCCTTGTCTCAATGTTCAGTATGTCTCTTGTCTCAATGTGCAGTGTGTCTTTGTTAAATGTACAGTGCTTCTCGACTCAATGTTTAGTGTGTCTCTTGTCTCAATGTTCAGTATGTCTCTTGGTTCAATGTTCAGTGAGACTCTTGGCTCAATGTTCAGTGTGTCTCTTTTCTCAATATTCAGTTTGGCTTGCCTCAATGTAAAGTATGTCTCTTGTGTCAATGTGCAGTGTGTTCCTTGTCTCAAGGGTTCAGTGTGACTCTTGGCTGAATGTTCAGCATGTATCTTGTCTCAATGTTTAGTATGTTTCTTCTGTCAATGTTCAGGGTGTATCTTGTCTCAATGTTTAGGGTGTCTCTGGTCCCAATGTTCAGTGTTTCTTGCCCCATTGTTCAATATGTCTCTTACCTCTATGTTCAGTGTGTCCCTTGTCTCAATGTTCAGTATGTCTCTTGTCTCAATGTGCAGTGTGTTTCTTTGTTAAATGTACAGTGCTTCTCGACTCAATGTTTAGTGTGTCTCTTATCTCAATGTTCAGTGTGTCTCTTGTCTCAATGTTCAGTGTGTTTCGTGTTTGATCGTCCAGTGTCTCTCGTCTCAACGTACAGTGTCTATTGCCTTATGTTTCAATGCTCAGTGTGTCTCTTGTCTCAATGTTCAGTGTGTTTTGTGTTTGATCGTCCAGTGTCTCTTGTCTCAACGTTCCGCGTCTATTGCCTTTTGCTTCAATGTGTAGGGTGTCTCTTGTCTCAATGTTCAGTGTGTTTTGTGTTTGATCGTCCAGTGTCTCTTGTCTCAACGTTCAGTGTCTATTGCCTTTTGCTTGAATGTGTAGGGTGTCTCTTGTCTCAATGTTCAGTTAACTCTCGGTTTAATGTTCAGTATATCTCTTGTCTAAATGTTCGGTGTCTCTTTTCTCAACTTTCAATGTGCCTCTTGTCTGAATGTTCAGGGTGTCTTTTGGCTGAATGTTCAGTGCGGCTCTTAGCTAATGGTGAGATTAAACATGCCGTGTCCATAGTATATTCAAGCAAGCAAATGATTCAGAAGTGCACTTGATGATGTTTCTCGGGTCATTGCGAGTAGATTAAATATTAACGGTTGATTGCTTGTAGTGACAATACAATATGAATATGTAATAGATATTCCTTCCATTGTCTGTTGAAGCAACATATTTCCAAAACCGATATTAACGGATTATATGTCAAGAATAGCAACGTCGCATAGCGTGTCTCTCAATATGATGTATTGCCATAAACCATCTTGAAATCGACAGAATAAAATGAAATTTCTTATGAATCGTATTCATGAGACGCCAGTAGATCAATCACTGTTGAAATAGCATGTGACAACGTACACGCTTGAAAGTGCACCACATATGTCATTTCAGATTGTATGCGAGACCCTGGAGGCGGGTTTGTTTGATGAGATCGAGACATTCAGAGGCCCTGTCTCCAGTGCAGATGTCGCCACAAAGTGTCACTTTAGCCTTGACGTCACTGAGAGACTGTTTAACACTTTGGTGTGCCTGAAGCTGCTGGAGAAGATTACATCTACGGACGGTAGGCTTTCGGTGTGAACTTAGCTGTTGTAACACTCGCTGTATTGATCTCACCTGATGTAACACTGAATCTGTTGATCTTAACTTGAGGTAACACTGATTTACTGATGTATGACTGATTTCGCTATCTTTAACCTAATGTACGACTAATTTGGGTAACCTTCACAAGATGAAACAACTATTCTGTTTATATTTACATGATGTTAAACTGATTATTGACTCAGTTCTATTAAATTTGCAGGTGCTGTCGGGTATAAGAACTCCACGGCGACAACGAGGTACCTGCTATGTTCCAAGCGGCCTAGCATGATCGCCTGTTGTCTGAGCGAAGCCGCTATGGTCCTACCGGCGCTAGATAATCTGGCTGCTGTCCTCAGAGGAGGTACTTTGTAATCAGAGTTAACAGTGTCTCCTTCATTTCTATGATACAACTAAACACCTAGTTAACTTGACATGACAGAACACTGCTGACAAGTATAATTATTTGAAAGACTGGCCGTCTTAGGGATAACAAACACAAAGAATTAATGCTACAACATGTATGTTTTCTAAATCAGGGACATCCGAGACTATTGCCCAGCAGGTGGTGAAAGGGGAACAGAATAACAACACGAAAGGGAGCGACAATGCCAACGCCAACCCGCCCAACACAGCGAACACCAACCCGCCAAGCACCATGATCACCAACAACGACAAACAAATGATGTTCATGTTAGCAATGGAGGGCATGGCGGCCTCTTGTGCTCCCGCCATTGCACGAGCATTTGACCTGAGTGGAAATAAAACAGCAGCAGACCTTGGTGGTAGGATCAGTAGTGCTCTGTTCTAATCAGTCCCAACGAGCTCAGGGTCCCGTTCCACAAAGCGATCATAACGTTAAGACGATCGTAACTCACATACTTTAACATAGGCTAATGATAGCCGTAGCGCTAAGACAACCGTAACTCCTATACTATAATATGGGCTAAGGAAAGTCGTAAGGCACAGATGATCGTAACTCCATACTTTAATATGGGCTAATGATAGTCGTAAGGCTCAGATGATCGTAGCTCCACACTTTAATAAGGGCTAATGATAGTCGTAAGGCTCAGATGATCGTAACTCCCACACTTTAACATAGGCCAACTGAGAGGGAAACGAGTGCGAAAGGCCAACTTTAGCAGCAAGGAGATAGATAGCATTGCTGATGAAGTGAAATTTTTCTGGTAATCTTAAAGTTATACAGTAGTTGTGCAGGAGGAAGGCTGCCCTATGCACTATGAAGGGTGAAACTGCAAACAGTTTGTGTACACATCAGCGAAGAGAATATCGAACCAGGGATATACAGTAAGCAATGCATGTTTTCTTAATACACCAAATGGTATTACTATTTTGCATTATCATATTTAAAAGGCATACACACCTGACACGTATGACTTATTTTAGGTGTGTGTTTTGTTCTCAAATACACAATTTATCAGATAAGCCATAGTTTCCATGTTTCTGGCGTGATTGCATGGGAACTCTTAGTGGAATGTTAAATATAGGGTCTGACTTCCTTTAGAATCACAAAGACAGCTGCTCTTGGCATTCTGTACATAGCTATGAGATCGTGTCCTGTTGCAAAGTGCGATTCCGAAATATTCTTTCTCTTTTGATCGGTATCTTTTTAAAAGTGACGAATGCCGCCATTTTCACGAGAAATCTTGCGACTTAGGATGGATCATACTAACCTTAAGTTTTGATCTTTATTAAGAGCAGAAGGGGGCTTTGTGAAAGAGGTGGGCGCCTCCAGTGTAGAGCTAAAGGCAAAGTTACGGTCATCTTAGCCTTCGGGGGCAAGGGGGCCCTGGTTAGGAGAAACGTACTCTGTTCCGAACTGTAGCAAAGTACTCTGTTCCGAAATGTAGCAATTTACTCGGTTCCGAACTGTAGCAACGTACTCTGTTCCGAACTGTAGCAAAGTACTCTGTTCTGGTCAGTAGCAACGTACTCTGTTCCGAACTGTAGCAACGTTCTCTGTTCCGAACTGTAGTAACGTACTCTGTTCTGGTCAGTAGCAACGTACTCTGTTCCGAACTGTAGCAACGTACTCTGTTCTGTTCAGTAGCAACGTACTCTGTTCCGAACTGTAGCAACGTACTCTGTTCCGAAATGTAGCAAAGTACTCTGTTCCGAACTGTAGCAAAGTACTCTGTTCTGGTCAGTAGCAACGTACTCTGTTCCGAACTGTAGCAAAGTACTCTGTTCCGAACTGTAGCAAAGTACTCTGTTCCGAAATGTAGCAAAGTACCCTGTTCCGAACTGTAGCGACGTACACTGTTCCGAAATGTAGCAAAGTACTCTGTTCCGAACTGTAGCAACGTACTCTGTTCCGAACTCTAGTAACGTACTATGTTCTGGTCAGTAGCAACGTACTCTGTTCCGAACTGTAGCAACGTATTCTGTTCCGACCTGTAGCAACGTACTCTGTTCCGAACTGTAGCAACGTACTCTGTTCCGAACTGTAGCAACGTTCTCTGTTCCGAACTGTAGCAAAGTACTCTGTTCCGAACTGTAGCAACGTACTCTGTTCCGAACTGTAGCAAAGTACTCTGTTCCGAACTGTAGCAAAGTACTCTGTTCCGAAATGTAGCAAAGTACCCTGTTCCGAACTGTAGTGACGTACACTGTTCCGAACTGTAGCAACGTACTCTGTTCCGAACTGAAGCAAACGTACTCTGTTCCGAAATGTAGCAAACTACTCTGTTCCGAACTGTGGCAGCGTACTCTGTTCCGATCTGTAGCAGCGTACTCTGTTCCGAAATGTAGCAACATACTCTGTTCCGAACTGTAGCAACGTACTCTGTTCCGAACTGTAGCAACGTACTCTGTTCCGAACTGTAGCAAAGTACTCTGTTCTGGTCAGTAGCAACGTACTCTGTTCCGAACTGTAGCAACGTTCTCTGTTCCGAACTGTAGTAACGTACTCTGTTCTGGTCAGTAGCAACGTACTCTGTTCCGAACTGTAGCAACGTACTCTGTTCCGAAATGTAGCAAAGTACTCTGTTCCGAACTGTAGCAAAGTACTCTGTTCTGGTCAGTAGCAACGTACTCTGTTCCGAACTCTAGTAACGTACTCTGTTCTGGTCAGTAGCAACGTACTCTGTTCCGAACTGTAGCAACGTATTCTGTTCCGACCTGTAGCAACGTACTCTGTTCCGAACTGTAGCAACGTAATCTGTTCCGAACTGTAGCAACGTACTCTGTTCCGAACTGTAGCAAAGTACTCTATTCCGAACTGTAGCAACGTACTCTGTTCCGAACTGTAGCAAAGTACTCTGTTCCGAACTGTAGCAAAGTACTCTGTTCCGAAATGTAGCAAAGTACCCTGTTCCGAACTGTAGTGACGTACTCTGTTCCGAACTGTAGCAACATACTCTGTTCCGAACTGAAGCAACGTACTCTGTTCCGAAATGTAGCAAACTACTTTGTTCCGAACTGTGGCAGCGTACTCTATTCCGATCTGTAGCAGCGTACTCTGTTCCGAAATGTAGCAACGAACTCTGTTCCGAACTGTAGCAACGTACTCTGTTCCGAAATGTAGCAACGTACACTGTTCCGAACTGTAGCAAAGTACTCTGTTCTGGTCAGTAGCAACATACTCTGTTCCGAACTGTAGCAACGTACTCTGTTCCGAACTGTAGCAACGTACTCTGTTCCGAAACGTAGCAAACTACTCTGTTTCAATATGTAGCAAAGTACTCTGTTCCGAACTGTAGCAACGTACTCTGTTCCGAACTGTAGCAAGGTACGCTGTTCCGAAATGTAGCAAAGTACGTTGTCCCGATTGTAGCAACGTACTCCGTTCCGTCATGTAGCAAAGTACTCTGTTCCGAAATGTAGCAAAGTACTCTGTTCTGGTCAGTAGCAACATACTCTGTTCCGAACTGTAGCAACGTACTCTGTTCCGAACTGTAGCAACGTACTCTGTTCCGAACTGTAGCAACGTACTCTGTTCCGAAGTGTAGCAAAGTACTCTGATCCGAAATGTAGCAACGAACTCTGTTCCGAAATGCAGCAACGTTCTCTGTTCCGAACTGTAGCAAAGTACTCTGTTCTGGTCAGTAGCAACATACTCTGTTCCGAACTGTAGCAACGTACTTGGTTCCGAACTGTAGCAACGTACTCTGTTCCGAAATGTAGCAAACTACTCTGTTCCGAAGTGTAGCAAAGTATTCTGTTCTGGTCAGTAGCAACGTACTCTGTTCCGAACTGTAGCAACGTACTCTGTTCCGAACTGTAGCAACGTACTCTGTTCCGAACTGTAGCAACGTACTCTGTTCCGAAATGTAGCAAAGTACTCTGTTCCGAAATGTAGCAAAGTATTCTGTTCTGGTCAGTAGCAACGTACTCTGTTCCGAACTGTAGCAACGTACTCTGTTCCGAACTGTAGCAACGTACTCTGTTCCGAACTGTAGCAACGTACTCTGTCCCGAAATGTAGCGGGGTACTCTGTTCCGAAATGTAGCAAAGTATTCTGTTCTGGTCAGTAGCAACATACTCTGTTCCGAAATGTAGCAACGTACTCTGTTCCGAACTTTGGCAACGTACTCTGTTCCAAAATGTAGCAACGTACTCTGTTCCGAAATGTAGCAAAGTACTCTGTTCTGGTCAGTAGCAACGTACTCTGTTCCGAACTGTAGCAACGTACTCTGTTCCGAACTGTAGCAACGTACTCTGTTCCGAACTGTAGCAACGTACTCTGTCCCGAAATGTAGCGGGGTACTCTGTTCCGAAATGTAGCAAAGTATTCTGTTCTGGTCAGTAGCAACATACTCTGTTCCGAAATGTAGCAACGTACTCTGTTCCGAACTTTGGCAACGTACTCTGTTCCAAAATGTAGCAACGTACTCTGTTCCGAACTGTAGCAACGTACTCTGTTCCGAACTGTAGCAAGGTACTCTGTTCCGAAATCTAGCAAAGTACTCTGTTCCGAACAGTAGCAAAGTACTCTGTTCCGATCTGTAGCAGCGTACTCTGTTCCGAAATGTAGCAACGTACTCTGTTCCGAACTGTAGCAATGTACTCTGTTCCGAAATGTAGCAACGTACTCTGTTCCGAAATGTAGCAAAGTACTCTGTTCCTAACTGTAGCAACGTACTCTGTTCCGAACTGTAGCAACGTACTCTGTTCCGAAATTTAGCAAAGTACTCTGTTTCCGAACTGTAGCAAAGTACTCTGTTCTGGTCAGTAGCAACGTACTATGTTCCGAATTGTAGCAACGTACTCTGTTCCGAACTGTAGCAACGTACTCTGTTCCGAACTGTAGCAACGTACTCTGTTCCAAAATGTAGCAACGTACTCTGTTCCGAACTGTAGCAAGGTACTCTGTTCCGAAATGTAGCAAAGTACTCTGTTCCGAACTGTAGCAACGTATTCTGTTCTGGTCAGTAGCAACGTACTCTGTTCCGAACTGTAGCAACGTACTCTGTTCCGAACTGTAGCAACGTACTCTGTTCCGAAATGTAGCAACGTACACTGTTCCGAACTGTAGCAAAGTACTCTGTTCTGGTCAGTAGCAACATACTCTGTTCCGAACTGTAGCAACGTACTCTGTTCCGAACTGTAGCAACGTACTCTGTTCCGAAACGTAGCAAACTACTCTGTTTCAATATGTAGCAAAGTACTCTGTTCCGAACTGTAGCAACGTACTCTGTTCCGAACTGTAGCAAGGTACGCTGTTCCGAAATGTAGCAAAGTACGTTGTCCCGATTGTAGCAACGTACTCCGTTCCGTCATGTAGCAAAGTACTCTGTTCCGAAATGTAGCAAAGTACTCTGTT